CGTCGCAGAGTAGTGGATCGGGTAGTGGAATGTGTTTCTTCTAATTCCTTCAGATAATTCGGTGTTTTCAGTCCAGAAAATACCGCTGAATGCCTGGCGTTCAGTGCACTTGGGAGAGGACGTGGGTTTTACTTTGGAGGTGCTGTCTGTGCTGAAGTGATCATCACTCAGTTTATTGCTCAGAAGTTTACGTAAGTGAGGCAGATCTTAGTGCAGAGAGACACTCATAGTTAGACGCTAATGAATACTGGAGGGGAGAGAGGTTTACATAGAGCTTGCAGTCAAGAGATTATTGAATATTTTTCTATCAAGATAACATCGTAGTTATTTTTTCAGCTCCTTTCCCACTTCACAGGTTTCTTCTTGTATAAAAAGAAGCTTTACATGTTTCTTCTTATATAAAATTGGGAAAAAAAAAAAACATAGAAAAGACCGAAGTCCTTATCTTGTTTACATGATGTGTTTCTTGTCTCAGGACCATCTGTAGTCGAGATGTCACCATCCATATGTGTTCAAGAGATAACAAGTAAACTGAAAGATGGTCCCACATTTGCTGCTTACTGCTCACTGAAACAGGATTCCTGTTGTATAGTCCCGCCCCCTCCCACCCCCCTATTTAAGAGACCAGTAATTTTTCTGTTATATCTGGTGATTTAAGAAGTAATGAGACAAATTTATCAGCTTAATTATTGGCGTAGAACACGTTAAGTACGGTTTAACAAAAATGGGAAGTATCAAGAATATAATAAAACCCAGAGTTTGATTTAAGCTGTCTTCTCCTTCTTCTAACTTTATATGAAGAATAATGTTGATCTGTGTTAATATTGGATTTGCTCTCTGTAAAATCACTGTTCCTGCCTCTTGAGTGTTCCAGAAGTTTAGTCATGTTGTGTCAATATGGTTGCTGCAATTAGCTGCCATTAAGAGAAACATCTTATTGGTTCCTGTATACCACTGTAACAGGCAGTTTCGTTATTTAATGTATTAATAGTATAAGCATCTTTATCAGCGTTAATTGAAGTTTTAAATCACATTTACAGAGACTTCATAGTCGCATTATAACCTTCAGCAAATCCCTGACATGTCTGCTTTATCTATTTTCTTTTTGCCTAATGTCTTCTGTAGGCAATGGTTTCTAACATAAAAGTAGAATAAATGGTTCTGCCTTTTTTAGCTGATCAATTGAAATGATTAAACTTTGTATTGTTCATTGTTGCGAGGAAAATATTAGGAAAACTGCTGAGCAGTTTTTTCTCTGTGTATGAAGGAGTTATACAGAATCTGAGAATCTATAAATGGTGCCTTTGTAATCTCATTTGTATAACTACTAGGCATATTTTTCAGAGGGTAACCATATTGTTGCATGATGAAACTTGTGTTTACCACTGTTGCAGAACAGAAAAACTTCTGCATATGTGAGCAATAAAGCAGAAATATGAATTCATTACTGCCAAATATGTGCTGCTAAAAATGTATATATAGATGCTGTCATTTCAATTTTCAGAAGAAAATGCTGTCTTTTTAACTGCAGAAGAACAAGGCTTTGTCTTCCTGTAATTCTGAAGTGAGACTTGTCATCAACAAGAAAACTAAAACCTTTTAAAGATAGGCCTTAGTAGTAGAATGCTGAAACAAACTTCTGGATTAGCTTCATTGGCTTTCCTGCTTCTTTTGCATCCCAAAGCATAAGCTTAAATCGTCTCAGAAGGACAAGGTCCGCCAGTTTATGGCATTTACCCAGGCTGGTGAAAGGACTGCTATTTACTGCTTAATGCAGAATGAATGGAAACTAGAAGTGGCAACAGACAACTACTTCCAGAACCCAGACTTGTACTACAAAGAATCCATGAAAAATTCAGTAGATAAGAAGAAATTAGAACAATTGTATAATCGATACAAAGGTAAGGCTTGGGGGTTTTTTGTTGTGGGTTTTGGTTTTGTTGATTGGTTGGGGTTTTTTCTAATTACTTTCTTTGGGTGGTGTTTCTGCTTTTCTCTCTGCTGTTCTTAAGGACTTCTAGGAAAGACTGCTAGCTTTAGCTTCTCACTCTGTGTGGTAGCAAGATAAGGATGAAGAAGGTTTTAAATGGTCTTAACATTCACTACACAACTTCTATAGATAATCCTGTAGAATTTAAAGTAAATTCACAGTAGGAAATTAAACCTATCATGAGAAAATAGCATCAGCTGCATGCAATGGAAAATAGAGTAAAGCTTATTATGCAACGTATTTGTTTTATTGCCTGTGGCTGCTATTATAATATATATGCAGTGTACTTTGCGTGGCAAAATAATACAATTAATCTTATGCTAATATTTGTGGGAGTTATTTTTGTTGAAAGATAGTAGTATTTCTGTCCATCAAAATAAAAAATGTTTCAGATAACATTACAGCTAGAAATCTGACAAAAGAGATAAAGAATTACAGAATGTTTTGGGTTGGGAGGGACCTTGTAGATCACCTAGTTCCAACCCCCCTGCCACATGGGCAGGGACACCTTCCAGTAGACCAGGTTGCTCAGAGCCCTGTCCAATCTGGCCTTGAAAACTTCCATGGATGGGGAAGTGCTGGCTTGTCCCAGCATGTCAAGTAAGCATATTGGACAAGTAAGAAAATTCAGGAACTAGTCATAGAAACTCCATCCTTATTTTATTCTTTGTGTTGGCATGTTACAGCAAAAGTGATGTGCCTGATCAGAGAGGCTTGGAGTGAAAACCACAGGGAAGTAGTTTAAAGGCAGAGTTGTTTCTTTTCCATTTTTTTGTTTTACAGCATTGTTAAAAAGAACAAAAAAGGGGAAGATAGTCAGGTGAATATAAGAATGTATGTGATGTAGGTAGTAGTGCTTTCTGAAATGTGGCCCTCCGGCATGAATTGTGTGTTGTTCATTACATGTTAGAGCACTGTGGCCTGAAATCGTTGCCAGCCCCTGCCGAGATCCATACATCTTATGTTTCAAAAAATGAACTCTTTAACAATTACTCAGCTATGATTTTTTGTACTTTTCTAATTGCAGTAGGTAGCTTGCTTTGTTTGATAGTGTTTTCACCTTATTTTGATACACTTGATACTTATTTTGATACACTTTACATGTCTTCTATTTTAGGTATGGACGTTCTTTAATATTTAATTATCATATGGTAAAGAATTGTGTAGGGTCAAAGAACCAGCAATATTATAGCATTGTCTTGGGGGACTCACACAAACAGACCAAAATGAGCAAAGAAAACAAACAAAACACCAAACAACTAGAGAACCACTTTTTTTTATCTGGTATGGGGGAGTGTGTGTGTATATATGTTATATATATACACAAAAAGCATGTATCTGTCTATCTCTAAATCTTTTTCTTGCTCCTTGCATGTCAGTGTTGCAGAGTGCTGGGTCAAAAATGTATACAAATTTTTAAATGCTACTATAATTATTTTTTTTTTAAATTACAAATGTTATTTATTATTCGTAGTTTTCTAGCAGTGGCAAACTGCACCACTTGACTTCTGTGAAAGGAAATCTAGTCAGTTTTATGTCTGTGTTTTGGTTAGCAGCACATCTTTGCAGTTCTAGGACTTCAAGATTCAGTAAAATTGCAGATCTGAACAAAACTTTCACAAGATTTGAGAGAAAACAGCCAAAGTTTTGGTTAAGCACCTTTCCTTTTCTTCATGTACAGCTTAAACCTGGCTCATTGGCCTCAAAACAACAAGGAATTCCTTTGTCCTACTGGGCCCATAGAATGCTACAAACATCATACTATATTTGAAATCTGAGATGAGAGGTCTTTAATTGTCTGTGCTTTTTGTTGTTGTTTTTTTCTTATCTATTTATCCAGCAACTCCAAACAACAGTTTCATTTTTGGTCCTAGTTACCTGGATGACGAGAAACATGATAAGGATGAAACAGCCCTTGTCGAAATCCATCAGTATTTTTCCACTGATTTCAGCACTAGTGCACTTTTTGCCTTTAGTTCTGCAATTACTCTCCAAATATACAAGAAATGTGTTTTATATGTCTTGGAACTAGATCTGGCATATAGCAGATGTGTTTGCCTGCTCAAATGTCACTCAATTAAACTATAGGTGTAATTCTTTTTTAATGGGTAAAAGAAAGTCTTTGTCTGCTAAATTAACTTCCTCTTTGCATTTAGCATTTCTACCACTGTAGTATTGGCTGGGAAAGTGTAAGACAGCTTAACAACCCTCCCCCCGCCAAAAAAAAAAAAAAAAGTATTCTTTAGATTATTTTTTTTTAATGGGTTCATTGGATAAGGACTTAAAAATAACATGGTTGAAATTTTTAAGGAGTTGGTTGAAAATGGTTGAAAGATTTAAGGAGTTAGTCTTAAATTTACCTGAGGGGTACTTTTCTACATAGCCCAATTTGTGATACTGAAACGTCTTTCTATCAAAACCTGGGAAAGATAGTTCTATAATTTGTAAACTGTCAGCAACTGTCAGCCATTGAAAACTAACAGTGTGATTTTACTTTTTATTGCTGCTTCTTTTTTTCCTCCCTCCAATTATTTAAGTTTACATGCAGGGGCTTTTGTTTGCTTGTGGGGGTTTTTTGAGAGAGGATCTTGTTACAGAATTTTTATGGTGACATTTACCCTTATGTAGGTAGTTAATGGTGGTTCTTGCATTCGAAAAGGTATTAGTACTACTGAAACATAACATTTCGTAAGTTTAGTTTAAGACTGTTATCCTATGGCATTGTTTGAGCAACATCTTGGTAATTCCCTGATTTTAAACTAAAACCTAGTGGCTGTGGTCTTTAAACATTTATAGTGGATTCTCATATATCTCTACTGGGGGTGGGGTGTGTGTGTGGAAATCTGTGGGCTCACTTGATAGGTGTGGTTTTGCTGGTTTGTTTTTTGGTCGGTTTGGGGTGTTTTTTTTCTTTTTAAAGTTTAATACATGCTAACCAATAAATATATTGTACATTTTGATGTGTTTATCAGCCTTACTGTTTTCAGATGTAGTCAGGCATCTTCTCAGTTAATTCAGATCTTTTTATAGAGCATTATGGAGAGAAGACAAAATTATTTCATTGACATTAGCTAATGAATTCAAGAAAAGTTGCAAACCACTTTCTAGGGAAGTGTGCAGAATACTTAATTTATTTACAGATACTCTTCAAGGTTCTCCTATAATTAACTAGATTTCAAGTGAAGACATTTGTGAAGCTTATGGAAAACTGAAGACCTGTTATGCAGCATATCACAGCTGTGCAGATGATTATTTGTAAATTATTTTTTTTTTTGTAAAAAATTACAATTCTTCTCTGTATTTTGAACCATAGACCCCCAAGATGAAAATAAAATTGGCATTGATGGAATTCAGCAGTTCTGTGATGATTTAAACCTGGACCCAGCCAGTATCAGTGTCCTGGTTGTAGCATGGAAGTTCAGGGCAGCTACTCAATGTGAATTCAGTAAAAAGGAATTTGTTGATGGAATGACAGAGTTGGGGTAAGTATCCATTTCTGCATAGTTCATCATGTAAGGCCTGAGGTCTGTTTCTGTTTAGAACATTTTTAATTGAATTAAGTGTGAAGTTTCAAAAATCTGGTAAGGCTGATGCCAAACTTAACAGATGCTAAATGCCTGTAGTGTCCCATCTTCCTTAAACTGGTGCTTTACTGCAGAGCCTTAATGATGACCACAGTAAGGGTGTAGCAGTATAATTCCTGTCTGTACAGCACGAAAGGCAGATGGATATGCTGACCTTTGTGTGTAATTCATAATAAACATTTTGAGTTGGACTGTGTGGTGTTAAAAGCTGACAGTCACTGGAGATGTATGAAAGAACATGATGTAACTAATCATTTGCTTTTTTTTTTCTTCCTGGATTATGGGGCTGTTCTGGAAATTAGACTTCGAGGTTAAACCATGCTGCCTCAGTTTAGCAATAAAGTCAAGCACTTATTGCCATAAATAGTATTTTGTGTATAACTTTTCCTTGGAAGAGATACAGTATTTCTAATACATAGAGAAGTGTCACAATGACACTTTCTTTTTTTTTTTTTTCTTAACAGATTGCATTAGGTGGAGAATTAAGATTTATTATTTCTGCATGTTGTTTGTAGTTAAATAATTTCATTTGCTCTTAGAATGGTGCCTTATCAATACTTTTCTGCAGTAAGCCAACTTCAAGCAAATGTGGTGGTTGTTTCTTGAGCAGGGGTCCTAGTACTCTGTTGTTACTGACCTCATCAGTTACTGACTTCTTTCTAAGCTTTCCTTTTTAGGTAAGGGTATTCAGAAATTGTGGTGAAGTAACTTTTGATGTCATCAGAAGTCTACTGCTTTATTTTGTTCCTTTGGGCAGAGACTGTAAGAATAATTATGATTTTTCTATCCATTGACAGCAATCAAGTGTTCATGCTGTTATAGTAAACCCGCCAGCATTATTTGCTATAACCAATTAAAAAGGTTTTGCTAAAACACCTGTAGATTCCAGCTTTCATTTTGTTTTGAAACTTTATCGTGACATTCCTACTATGTCCCGATGGCTATCTCTGATACAGTTCCACAGAGGTCTGCGATTTTTATTTTTCTGCTCTAACACACATTATGATGTTCTTGGGAGTATAATCTGATCGTACCTGCTTGCCTCTGGTATAGTGCTTATTGAGAATTTGGAATGATTTTGTTACATATCTGAGGTCGAGTGTGTGGTTTTTTGCATTGAACATAGGTGAAGATTTGAGTGAAAAGAAATTCCCTGAGGTTTAGTACAGATTGGACATTTAGGATACATATAAGAAGATGTGGTATTCGTCTCTATTGTTAACTGTATCAAGTCTCCATGAAACTCAAGTTCTCAGTTGAAGACTGTTGGTGGAATTCTTTCTTTTCTCCACCAGGTATTGCTGGAGGCCAGAAAACTGCTTATTTTTACCTGTACAGTGCAGGCTGGTTAAAACTGCATCTGTGTTTTATGAATTTTGGTATAGTTATCCATCCTATAATAAAACATTTCTTGAATCCTCAGAATAAATACATTTAGCTACTGAGAACTTTGAAATGCAAGATCTTAGTTATGATATCTGCTCCTTTGAAATTTTTTCCCTTGCTCTGAATTTCTAGGTACAATTCAAAATATTGGTAATGTCCTATTAACCTTCTATATTCATTTGATTCCTTGGCTTGGGAGAAACCCTTTTTCTTTTAAAATTGCATCTTGTCAGCTCAGGTGCTTTCACTGAAAATGCTCCAGTCTCGTGTTATACAAGGGTTGTGTTTCTGTTAGAATCTCATAACTTGATTCTGTCTTAGCTTACCTGTGCCAGGCTGTTAAACCGTTTGTCAGCCTTCAAGCTGTCATCAGAGCCTCATTTATTTCTTGTTTTTCCCCACTGATCCACCAGTGTGGGGAGATGACTGCAAATAATAGTGCATTTTGTTGGAAGTCCTCTAATGTTAAGATTAAGTCTAAACATGGTATGTAGCTCTTCATTTAGGTGGAGAAGAGAATAAGTAATGTCTATCTAGGTTAAAGCAAAACCCCACACCCTGGTGTTACAATAACTGTAGAAGGGAAAGGATAGCAAATTTCAGAGAGGTTTATATGTTCTTTAAGAACAGAGTAACATTTATTTTTTGAGTTCGTATGAAGAGGCTGAGGAAAGAAGTTAAACCACTGACTTCTGTTTGGGTATTATACTTAATGGATGCTTATATATAATGTTCCACTTAAAATTGTTTAATAAAGGCATTTGAGTATTTATATTCTTAAGAATGATACCCAGAAAGATACTCTGTTATCTTAACTACTGTTTTATTTTGCTCTGAAACTAAAACTTAAAAAACAAAAAAGGATAAGAAGGAAAACCAAAAAAAGGTTAAAAGAAAATCTTAAATATTTACGAACAATGTAACCTCTTTTGAACAGGTGTGACACTACAGAAAAACTAAAAGCTCTATTGCCAAGACTGGAACAAGAGCTAAAGGATCCAACAAAGTTCAAAGATTTTTATCAGTTTACTTTTAACTTTGCTAAAAACCCTGGACAAAAAGGTCTAGGTAAGTAGAAAACAATTGAGAAAATATCTACAGACAGTGAAGTCAGTTTGAAATACTTAAAATAATAGTTTTCTCATTGGTGATTGTATAGTAAATTCATTATTGATTTAATTCACTGACTTTTCCTTTTTCCCCGTCTTCTTTCAATTAATCTCTTCTTTAATGTCCCCTTGGTCCAGATAATTTAATGGTATTTTCTGCTAGTATTGACATTCTTTCTCCTCTTGTCAAACGAAGTTCCTGCAGTTCTTACAGACCTCTCATAATTTCTTTCAAAGTCTGAGCTTGTGAGCTCCTGGTATTTTCTGTTTTGTTTAGAACAACTGAAACAAGATGTCCATATTGGCTAAAAAGAGAGAGAACACAGAGCAAAAGTTATTGTTCTTCTAAGACTCTTTTGGGTTTAGCTCACAGTTTCTACATAAAGTTTAGGAAAATAATACTATGGTCTTGGTTCAAAGCTGGTGAACAGAAATAGGCATTCTGTTTATAAAGTACTAAACTATTATTCTTTGTAAAGTTTGAGATTTGTCCCAATCCATTCTTTGTATTGCTGGAGTAAAATGGATATTTTGTTTAAATTTTAATGTTCTCTTCAAATAAAAAATATCTATAGCTTGTGAATAGGTGAAAAAAATTGTAAGATGAAATCTGATAGCCTTTCAAACTTATATCCGCTTCCAAAAGACACTGTGAGGGAAGGAATTAACCTATTTTGTGTGCAGGATAGAGCCATACCATCATCAGTGTTCTCTTTGTGCTGTGGTTGAGAAGAGCAAGTGTTTTGGGATGGGTTTTTTTGGTGGTTTGGTTTGGGGTTTTTTTGGTTGTTTGGGTTTTTTTTTTAAGCATAGCCACTTCAACTTTGTGTCTGTTACTTCACAAGCACATTAATAAATACTTTTTCTCAAAAACTGTGAGAAGAGTAGTGAGATGGAGGTCCAGAATGTTTATTTTAGACCTTCTCAACCAGAGGCTTCTGTTCCACATTCTTCCTTGGGAATTACTTTGAATGATATCTCTTGTCTTCCCCAGTGTCTTTTTCCCTTTTGAACTGTGAGTAACTTTTAGCCAGTTTCTATTTTTCTTTATTTTTTTGCAGCGATTTCATTTTTCATTACATGTCACTCTTTCAGGGATCACATGCCACGTTTCCAGCCACAAAAAAGAATTGTCTTGTAGTGGTTCTGTGAGGCTGGGTGGAATTGAAGTGCTTTAGCTAGTTGTTCTTTTTTTCTTGCCTCTCTTCATTAAAAAGCCTAGTGCTTTCAGATTGTGGAAAAGGTAAGTTAGTTACAGCCAAGGCTGGAATTTATGGGATACCTAAAGAAATACTACAAATGTCTTCCTGTTTTAATTGTATCAGTTCCAACGTGAAACTCATGTATTTGGGAAATACGTCTCAAAAGCTTTTCACCTAAGCCTGTACAAAGAGAGGAGGAGGGAAGACAGGCCAACCCAGATTATGGAACTGAATGTACTGTCTATTCAATGTGAGGAGGAAAAAGGAAACTTACTTGTTTTCCATTACTTCTGGTTTTGGTATGGAGGCCTTTTCATTTATAAGACTGTCTTCTTTGTTGTGTAAGAATGGTACTTTTTGGCAACAAAACAGCTAAGTGCCTTCTTGCACTAAGGTTTGAAGTATTAGTGCAAAAATTAAAGTAGAACTTAATATAAACTGTAGAAAAAGTTGATTTGAACTGTTGCTGATTTCAGTTTTCAGGACTTTTAATAACTCTGGTAATACTGTTTCTTAATCTCAAGTAGTGCTTAGTTCTTACATGGCAGTATTTTGGTGACATTTTTCATCAGACTTCTTATGGTTTTGCTAAGAAGATTCCAGATATTAAATAAATATGAATAAATGCCACTGCTCTTATTTCAGTGGAGATACACCATGTTTGTCTGATGTGAACTTGGATCACTATAGGTCAACTAGAAAGAGAATGCTGGACAAACATAGTGACTAATATGACATTTTTGAGCGATTCAGATCAGTGATAGCTAATCCAAATAAAAACTAACGCTGTATAGGTTTGAAGCCAGAATCTTTCCAGGGAATGCCATTATATTCAGGGAGCAGAGAAATGGAGGAAAAAAATATTTACAGGTTGGCATTTATAACTAACTGCTTCCTGGTGCAATTATTTTAAGAGTTATGTTTGTTCTCTTTCAGCAAGGAAAACAATTCAGTCACTTATCTTACAGGAGTGTCTGTATGAGCTGAGAATACTAGTTGCTTCGGCTACATGTTATAGAGGCTTAGGTGTCTTTTTATTTTACATCCTTTTCTCTGTATACACTATGTATTTTCTCCTAGAATGAGAAACTGTCGATCTTCTCTTGAGGTGTTTGGTATTTGTGTCCCAGTGACCATGTGCCCTATTGTCAGGGAGACACGAGTATGTATTTCATCCACATACAAAGTCTTTCTCTCTTACTAATTGTGGAACCTTGTCTCAGCATGCTTTTATGAATTCAGTCCAGATAGTTTAAACAGAATGTATAATTAGATTTGTTACCAAATGAGCTGGTATAAATCTCTGGATAGCTCTGTCTAGGTCATCTTAAGATGTTGAACTCTCCTTCTTCCCTGCATGCACGTTAGATGAACTTGCAAGTGCTACTCACGTCTAGGATGCTGCTAAGATACTGCCCTGACTGCTTGCTTTAAAATGTTTCTGGTGACATGCTCCCATTATAAGGTTTTTGCATGCTCCTTCTCATACGTTCGCATTTGAGTTATGACTTGAAGGTCAGTAAGTTTATGTCAAGTAGGGATAAAAGTAAATGGTTTTAATTAATGAAGTAGAAATAATGAAGTGGAAAGGAATTATTTCCTAACTTTCAATTACAAAATATTTTAATGAGATTTTTCTGGGGTGTGAAGTATCCAGTGCTTCCTCTTATTACACTCTGAGCTTAAATCACGAAGTCTGGTAGTTGTTGCATTCCTTGTTTAGGGGAGTGGTCTGTGGGCTAAAGGAATACTGCTTGATTTCTCAGGTAAACACACCACCTGTTTGAAAACCAAGCAAATTTGACATAGTACCAGTGATAAATGGGCAATTTTTATTCTTAGCAGATTGTTAATAAAAACTATTTAAACGGTCCTTCTGTTGGATCTTTCAGGCTAAGTGCTAATGTGTCTTTATTTTTAACAGAAATAACTCTTGAGAATAGAGCTCGCCAGAAAAAATGTCTAGGATAGGCAGAGGAGACTCATTTATGCAGTTATTTTTCATGTTTATTATCTTAACATATTGAAAGTATAAGAAATTACTGAAATACCTCTAAAATGTCTAAGCAGTGAGCCTTTATGAGTCATGTTTATCGCTCTGTCAGTATTTTAATACGTTTCAGATTACTTTTTTTTTTAATAATCTTTCTGCTGTTTTGAGAAGTGATAAGCAGCACTTACTACTTTATTTTTGCCACATCCCCCTGAAGAACATGAGGAAATACAGTGATTCATGGGTTCCTTTTTAATATGCCAGGCGGTCTTTACATTTAAAAGATAAACACTTACATAGTGTTTTCCCTTGTGCCAGAAAGGATCATTCCTCACACATGTCTTTCTAACCAAGTGTTCAGTGGTATGCTAGCAATATATTCTAACTTACTTTTTCAAGTTATCAGCAAGATTTGATACGTGATTGGCAGTGGTCCTCTGACTGGAAGTTGGGGAGCGACTGCCTTCACATAATAAAATCTTAAATTTCTGATGGCAGGTCTCATACATCTATGTCTGTGCTTGCTCATGCCTAGTGTTAGATTATATTTTTTTCTTTTTCTAGTGTATAACTTAAATCTTTGTTCCTGGATTCTTCAGTTCAGTACTTACCCATCCAGAGCATATGTGCAGAATACATGTTTCCTTGGCATTGGCTACAATTTTTTACATATTTGGCAACTATGTATGTGTCTTCCCTTAATCTCTGGACTGAGTAAAGCTGGCTACCCTGATGAATTTTGTCTTCCAGCTCTCTGATATTGCAATTGTACCTTCCAGCTCTTTTTCTTTTTTTTTTTTTTTTTTTTTTTTGTCTTCTGGGATCCTATTGATCTAACTCTTTCTTGTCTTGTAGTACCCAAACAAGCTAGATAAGCTTCTGTGCACCTTAGATAATTTGCTCCTTGATTTACATCCCATTACTGCCTTGCTTTTATGTGTATAACACTGATACTCTGCAGTTTGTAATCTACTATGTTACTGCATTTCTGCAGAACTGCAATGCACCCAGTTAATTTTGAATCTGCAGTCAGTTATTCCCACTAGGTTTATGACTTTGCATTTCTCTTTAATGAAATCTTTTCTATTTACTTCCAAGTGGTTTTCCAATTTATCCAAATAACTTTGAATTCTAATCCTGTCCTCTGCCATGCAGTGCTTCCTTCAGGCTTTGTGTAATTTGTAGATTTAATAAAAGTTTTCTTTGTTGTATCATCTGAGTTATTTAAGTATTAGACGGTGTTAGATACAGGACTGACCTTCGTGGATGAGTTACTTTCTCCCGGTTTGGCAGGGAAGCACTGGTGTTCTTCTGGAATTTCTTTGACCCCTATGAATTCTCAGAGATGGTAGGTAGTAGTCTGAGGTTTCTGGGATGAATTTCACCATGTCCAGCTTTGCTTTGGGCACCAGTGCTTTCAGAATGAATTTCTAAAAGCTGTTTCTGAGAATACTGTCCATTTTCATTGAACCTTTTTGCCTGGAGCCTATCTTGAAAAAAATCTGTCTATCCCGAACATTTATCTTTCAGGAGTTATCAGCAGGACACATAGTATCTCTTATGACACCAGCTGCCATTTGTGAGGGAGGGAGTGGGAAGGCACAGAAGCCCTTCTTAGAGCGTTTTTTGGTGGTACACCACACAGTCATCTTTGCAATGCAGTGGATCTTGCTCCAGGAAAGCATTCCAGGCAGATGTGTGTGTATGCAATTTTGTGTTTTATTTACTTTTAGAACAGCCTGTCTTCCATTGCTTTTTAATTTC